ACTACTTTACTTTCATTATAGCTGCAAACACAAGAACTCAACTCTCTGCACTTTCAGAAAGATTTAGGCTCCAAAAAGGCCAAAACACACTGACTGAATGTAAAGAAAGCAGCTCAGTCTCAGGCTGTAGTTTGGGACTTTGGCCAAAAGTATGTGGACAGCTGGACGTTCCCTCAGTAAGTGACTGTGACTGTATGTTCATGAAGAATAAAACAAGGGGGAAAGAATAATTTTAAAAGTGAGATGAAGAGAGAGATGTAACTGGGGCTCATGAAGTGCCTTATATGTGATCAGCAGGATCTTGTAGTGGATTCTGAGTTTTACACGAAGCCAGTGGAGGGATGTGAGAACAGGAGTAATGTGGGACCACCAGCTGTTTCTGGTTCTGCCTGGTGGCTGCAGTTTGAACTGACTGTAGATGATTTAAGGAAGCCTGACTGAGGCACGTGTAGAGGGAGTTACAGTAATCTAGACGGGAGAAAATGAAGGCTTGAATTAATAGTTGGAGATCCCTGGAAGATGAGAAACTTCTGATTTTTGTAGCTGCAGAAAACAGGACTGGACAACATGATGGTCAAAAGTCATAAACTGGTCAAAAATGATACCCAGATTCTATAATGCCGGCCCACAATTCCTTGCAGCAGCAAGATTTAAAAAGCCAGCGCTGGATCAAAAGGAGGCAGATCAGCTTCTCTGTTACCGTCCTGTTTTTATCTTCTGCCATAACTTGTTAATAAGTGAACAACATATTAAAGCCATTACAGCCGGCTGTGAACTGCTGCTGTACAATCTGCTGCTTCTGAAGTTGTGTTCCTGTGTGAAGCACTTTGTATAAACATTATCATATTAAAAGGATCAGAGTGGAGTTTATACGTGGTAGTGTAACATAGCGTTTAGTTATTGCTCATATCGCAGCCTTTATGAATATCATTAAATATTTAAATTGTTCTTCAGTCACAGAAACTTCACAGTGAGTTTTATTGTCACATGAAGGAATTAACCTCAGTATATTGGAGCAGAACAATAAACAGGACGAGGAGAACAAGGAAAACTATGAGATCAAAATATTCCCAGAATTTTCACTTATAATGAAGATTTTGTTGTGATTCATGCGATTTTTTCATGCGATTACTGGCAGAAATGGGCTTCCACATTAGAGACAATCTCAGTGCTCACAGATACTTTATCTGGATTCAGGTTTTATACAACAATTAGTCTTTCAGCACTTTGGGATTTTTCTCTTCAGTTTTTAAAGAAGTGTAATCAGACACAAAGTCACATTATTGTTCTGACCGGTGGAACCAGAAGCAATAGGACCCAAATGCAGGACTTCAGACACAGGACGGTATGACAAACAGTCTTTACTTGCCAAAATGGGTCAGTACACAGAAGTCCAACAATCACAGGCAAACACATCGAAAGGGGCTCAGGCAAAGTCCACAACCAGGCAACAGTCCAAAAACCAGGGTAACAAATGACCCGAGGAAGAAGCTGGAAGGTTTGACAGTGAGTAATAAAGACCAGCTGACACACGGTGAGTAAAACACAGGCAATATATCCTCTAAGTGAGGGGGAACCAAGGACACACAAGTGGACACAATCTAATCAATCACAAACGGCGGGAAAAACAGACAAAGACAGGAAGTGACGGAAAACAAGACACAGGAGGAGAAAAACTATAAAATAAAACAGGAAGTAACACAAGAAAAACATGACTTCAAAGTAAAACACTAATATTTATAACAGACATGACACATAGTGGTGAGTTTAGTAGCAGCAGGTCAGGAAGTACAGTTTATGTAAGAGCCATGTTGCCTGCTGATTAATGAGTTTTAATAGTTAATATACAATGTTGTTAAGAATAGTAAATTCTAATAAATACACGAGGCTGCACTATAAACATAAGGCTTTAAATAGACCCAGCGATCGTTGATCGGTATCGGTTGATACTTCTATTGGTGCGTCGGAGCACCCTTATTAACAGCAGCATTGATGTGTTTGATCACAGTACAGTCAGGTAATTCAGTTTACAGCTCAAATAACACGTTTCAGGATGGAAGAGCTCTTTAAACAAATAACTTTATTCAAGAATATTTCAGTTAAATATTATTGAACATGTTCAATAAGTAAGGGATAACGCTCGACGAGGTGCTCTTGATCAGGAAGTAATGGACAACATGGAGGCCAGAACCGTCTGACTCACAGCCAAACTGAAGAGAACAGAGACGCAGAGCATTTGGAAACAGCAGCTGATGGAGAGGACTGTGGAGGACCAGAAGCAGCCAGGAACTCAGATCCAGATAGTCCTTTACAACCAGCTACTGATGACAAGAAGTCACAGTCCTCTGAACCTGAGACTGATGTGACTGATGATTGGGAGGAGACCAGGGAACCTCAGTCAGGGTTAAACCCTCTGCAAAACAATGAAGTACCTGGAAGTGATCCAGAATGTCATACTGGAAAAACATCAGTCAGCTCCTCTGAATGTGCTACAAGCTCTGACCACAGGGGACATCAGCAGAAACACAATGGGATCCACACAGGAGAGAAACCATACGGTTGTTCCAGACATTCAACTCTCAAACATTAGTACTTTTACTTCAGATGTTGTGACATCAGGGTCCCTTCAGATGGACATTAATTCGAACCTGGTAACATACTGAAGTTAATTCATTCCTCTACTCTTTGATAAACAGACGGTTAATTCACTGTAAACCAACACCTGCTTGATGACGTCTCTGAATAATAAATGTTGTAATTCGTTGGACCAACTTTCTATGAAATGAATTAACTGAGACATTGTCTTCAAATCTTTAAGATCACACTAATGAACAACAACAAGATTCAATTTGAACAACTATTTAACTCCACGAGTTGCGCTGACTGCCATTTCATAAAGGAGAATATAACAACAACAAATACCAAGACAAGTGTTTTGAATTGTACACGCAACTGAAGTGTTCGTTGTTTAAACAGTATGTAATTACATTTATAAATGTTTAAAATCCATGTCGCGACCACAATGACCCGGGCCTCTCCTTGCATCCAACAGATATTTCAAATTGAATACTCTGAAAACAATCAACCAAAAGAAAAAACAATAAGCGAAATAAATCAGCAAATCACACCATTAAAATTAATAAATTATTCAACTTCTTAACATGATATATCAAATAAAGTTAATATTGATGATCCCATTATTATTATCTATTATATGTCAGATCAATCATACAGCACCTTCTCCTGTAATCTCAGCACTGTCCACCTACCTGTATTACAGATAGTTTTAAATACTGGATAAAAACGTTCACAACCAGCTTGCGATGCTACTTCAACAAAT